TTGTTGTTGTTGTTGCTTGTAATAGGGAATTTGGTATGCTGACAGGTGGTGTAGCTGCCAAAATAGGCAGTTTCTGCCAAAATTATACCCAGAAAAGCGACCAACTGTAGTCGCTTTTCTTATTAAAAAAAAAAAATCTGGGCAATGGCGACCAAGGTTGGTCGCTAATTAACCCAGATTTCTTAAAAAGCGACCAACTTTGGTCGCTATTCTATTAAAAAAAATCTGGAAAATATGTTTAAAAAATAATTAAATTCTTGCAATTAGCGACCAATTTTAGTCGCTTATGTTTAAAAAAAAATTAAAAAAAGCGACCAACTTTGGTCACTATTTTCCAGATTTTAAAATATAATATTTGGTTTACATACCAAAATTGATCGTTATATTTTGATTAATAATAAATAAATAAATAAATAAATAAATAAATAAATAAATAAATAACGTAATTTAAATATAGAGACCAACTTTGATTTATATTATTAAAATACTAAAGCGACCAAAGTTGGTCTCTATATTTAAAACCCGACCAACTTTGGTCTCTAAGGTAAAGCGACCAGCAAAATAGCGATCAAGCTAGTTTGGACGCTTTTTAGTCGTTTTTTGACCTGTAAGCGATCAACTTTGGTCGCTTTTTTTTCGGATTTCTAGTAGTGATCGGAGAAAAAGAATATTCCGTAGAATAGAGATTCATTTACCAAAGAAAAGAAACAATAAACTTTTTTTTTAATTTCTTTTCTTTGTGTGCTTCTTTTATTTGTTTACTTTTTTTTTTGGTTTTTGAAATTTATTTTGAGCAAAATGAAAAATGTCAATTTTATGAAGTAGAAGTGTCAAACAGTTCATGTAAGAAATCAAATACTATGGAAAAATCTTAGAGGAAGAAGAAAAAAGCAGGTAACATTTCATCTCAGATTTCATATTCCTGCATTATCATTCTCTTCTCTTTTTAATATAAATTGCTTCTTTTAGCAAACATTCCATTCTTCTTATTCAAGTTCACGTATGCTGATTTAAATGGAATATTACATGTATGTCAATCAATCTTATAGAGAATGTGAATTTTTTTAAGAAATAATAGAAACATGAAAAGATATTTCATTAGTAAAAATATTATATCAAAATTTAAGACATTAATTATTTAATTATAGTTTAATTGTTTTCATGTCTGCGCAAAGCGCAGATTACTCTAGTACAATATAATACATTGGTTCCAAAGAAAACCTTAATGTTAAAGTGAAATGTTGTTATACAGAATGGTTGTTATAGAGAGGTTTAAATGTATAACTTTTAGTAATTTTATTTAAAATATTTTCCATTTCCGTGTACATACACACACACTATGCTAGTATGCTTCAAAAAGAAATAAATCTGTAGCAAGACCTCTCTAACTATAAAGTTCAGTGTCGACAGTTAGTATAATGCTTGCCTCATATTGGTTTTAACTTGTTTATTGTTTGATTAACACATAGTCTTGGATAAAATCTTCTCCTCAACTAATCGCAACTATTTTCAACTTCATTGACCATCCTTACAATATTATATTCTGTCAAATGAAAGTGACAATAGATTTCAGCAACAAAGGAAAATGGAAAAGGAAAAAAAAAAGTAAGAGAGTGACGGGAAGCATTAGCCCTGCATTGTTTACAAATTTTCCAAAGGAAAAATTTCAGTTTTGATTAAGAATTCTCGAGAGCAGTAAGTGGGTGCACCAAATCCTCCATGTAGTTGGACTAAGTTGCCCAAAACTTTCCAAAATCTCTGGCTAACTCCAAACTAATGTACCACCAAATTAATATTATATTATATTAATTTTATTTTTTTTAATAAATGATTAGATTAAGCTTTCGGTTCTCCATCTAGCAGTATAAATAGGCAAACTCCAGGATTCCAAAAAGATAAGAGATGGAGACTTCCAAAAAGGCATTGTTCAAAGTCCTATTGGCTACCACTGTGGTTATACTAAGTCTCCTGTTTAGTTTTGCAAATGCAGATATTCACCAACATGAATTTTCTGTATGTCCCTATTTACTATATTTGTTTCATTTTTTACCTTACCACTTTTAATAATTTGAAACTGTTTGAACAGGTTCAAGAAACAAGAATAACAAGACTGTGCAAAACCAAGAATATAATAACAGTGAATGGACAATTCCCTGGGCCAACGTTGACCGTTCGAAATGGGGATAAACTTGTTGTTAGGGTTGTGAATAGAGCACGATACAATGTTACCATTCATTGGCATGGTATTCGTCAAATGAGAACTCCATGGGCAGATGGACCAGAGTATGTGACACAATGTCCAATAAAACCAGGAGGAGTTTACACATACAGGTTCACTATTGAAGACCAAGAGGGTACATTGTGGTGGCATGCTCACAGTAGATGGCTTAGAGCTACTGTTTATGGGGCTCTTGTTATCTTACCAAAACAGGGTTCTCATTTTCCTTTCTCACAGCCTAAAAAGGATATCCCTATTCTTCTTGGTAATTAAACCTCTTTTTTTCTTTCTTTTCTTTTTGTTCTAAAATTATTATCGTCTGACGAATATTTACTGCTTTCAGGTGAATGGTGGAACAAAGATATTATTGTAATCCAAAGACAAACACAGTTCACAGGAGCTGCTCCCAATATTTCTGATGCATATACTATCAATGGTCAACCTGGTGACCTCTATAGATGCTCTAGCCAAGGTTTTTAGTGTGATTAGATCCATTTTTTTTTCTTTTTTGGGAACCAACTTCATGGATACTAAGTCAGAATAATGTTGTTGCAGATACTCTAAAGTTTTTAGTGAATCCTGGAGAAACAATACTCTTAAGGGTCATCAACGCTGCACTCAATCAACAACTCTTTTTCTCAGTTGCCAACCACAAATTGATTGTGGTGGGAGCTGATGCTGCTTATAATAAGCCTTTTACGACGAATATTATCATGGTTGGACCTGGTCAGACCACTAATGTAATACTCACTGCTGATCAGCCCCCTGCACGCTATTACATGGCAGCTCGTGCCTATGCCTCAGCTCAAAATGCCCCATTTGACAACACTACTACCACTGCTGTTCTTGAGTACACGAATCTTAGGTCGGGAGCTAATTCAAGGCCTTTGTTGCCTCAGTTTCCAGCCTTTAATGACACAAATGCTGTCACGTCTTTCACAAGTCAAATGAGGAGCATTCCTAAAAATAATATTAAAGTACCTAATCAGATTAATGAGAATTTGTTCTTCACTGTTGGATTAGGCTTAGTGAGTTGCACTCCTGGTCCTAGATGTCAAGGCCCTAATAACACACGTTTTGCTGCTAGTATGAACAATGTCTCCTTTGTTTTTCCTAGAAGAACCTCATTGCTACAAGCTTATTACCAAAACATTCCTGGGATTTATACATTGGATTTCCCTCCTGTTCCACCTGTAAAATTTGATTATACGGGAAATGTTTCTAGAGTACTCAGGCAGCCAGGATTTGGGACTAAGTTGTATAAGATCAAATTTGGTTCTAATGTACAAATTGTGTTACAAGATACTGCTATCTTCTCGGTGGAGGACCACCCAATTCATCTTCATGGATACCATTTCTGGGTTGTTGGACAAGGTTTTGGCAACTTCAATCCACAAACTGATACTGCCAAATTTAACTTGAATGATCCTCCAGTTAGGAACACAATTGATGTGCCCGTCGGTGGATGGGCAGTCATTCGTTTTGTCGCTGATAATCCTGGTAAGTTGCTTATCATAATGATATATGTTGCCTTAGAAGAATTTATTAAGATTATTCTGATTCATTTATCTGATATCTTAATAGGGGTTTGGCTGTTTCATTGCCATATTGATTCACATTTGGCATGGGGTCTGGCTATGTCGTTCATCGTTGAAAATGGGAAAGGAGAGAAACAGACTATGGAGCCACCTCCACCAGATCTACCACAGTGCTAGAAGGAATATTAGAATTATTCTTCCAACTTAATGGATTTGGAGTTGTAGCAACTCATCCATATTATGGTTCTCTGCAAATGAAGCATTTTTAGTGTGGTCTATCTACTGTCTTTTTGTTTATATAAGTATAAGCAGTTCAGGGTCTGGAATTCTTTTGCTTTTAATTAGTTGTTCACGTTCCAAGTACTTTATATGTACTTTTACAATCTCGTACTCTGTTAGTTCAGATATATATATATACTAGTTTCTAAACACGTGCGTTGCACACACGTGCGTTGCACGTGTAACCCTTATCAATTGTTACAAACTTTTGAAAATTGAAATATCCAAAAATATCTAAATGATTTGTTAAAAGTTCTATAAAATGGATGTATATCAAATGTATTCACATACTTAATTTTTCTTTTTTCCACCGAAACTAATTTCGATATGTAATAATTATAGTGCCCTAAATCCTACCGAATGATAGTTGGTTTATAAGGGATTTGAATTATGTTCTTCTACTTGTCTTATATTCTTCTACTTATATATCGTTGAAACTTAGATTCAAATGATAACAATTGACTTATGGAATAATTTAACACTAACCGTGCATTGTAGGTACTATCGTTCACCCTCTTTACTTAGATTATTTGTTTCTATAATCTAAGATTTCTCTTTATGATATAAGTTAATAACAATATATTTGATTTACGTAGTAGCCCTTTCACATAACCCATGACTTCTTAATGGTAAAAGTAAATAGAAGAGGGAGTAAAGAAGTTAAGTCTAGTAATGGGCTTGGTAATTAGTCTAACACTTGAATAATACAGCAAAAGGAAAATAACAAACTTAACGTTATTTTTCACTGATAATCAATAAGGATAGTATAGTAGCCAAACTTTTCATAACAAAAGATAGTCATTTTCATGATAAAGACTATCGAAATATTGTATAAAAAACATGAACAATTGTAAAATTTGCGCGAGACTCGTAAAACTAATAGGAAAAGAAAATATTACCTCATTTGAAAACTATAGATTGGTATTATGTGTTATAGACAGTTAGCAGGTATGCCAAATGAAAAAAATAAATGGTTAATGACCATTTCTCCAATTGACAAATGGTCTCACAGTAAGAAGAATTGCTTAATTGATTTCATTGTCCAATTTTGTAAAGTGAATGAAAGAAGAAGAGAAGGCTGAAATACATGAATCTATAATAATTGTTGGAAGCTAAAAAGGAGTAAACATTAAATGGGCATTCTAAAGGTTGAGATAGTATGTACATTTGCAATAAAGTATCAGAAGATGAAAGGAATACTTAGGAGTTGAATAGGCAGCATTAAGTACAAATTTATTATTTATTGGAAGGTGACTGTAGTACTTTACCTTTTTGTACAAGAATATTATTGAAGTAGTATTTATATAGTTAATGGGTAAAATAGTCCTTCAATTTTATGGACTTTTTGGTAATTCAACTTTGACATTTAGAGCTTCCTGCTTTTAGTATAATATGATATGATATATGAATACTGAATTGTTCCATTGTTGTCCCATATTGGTGTATTTTAAATCATTGTTCAGGCAAAGTTTATGGATTATTAGAAAGTGTAAGGTCTGATTGTCCAACAATAATTAACTAGTGATTTAACCAAAAAATAGTTTTTGCAGTCAAAGCATTTAAATAAATATCTCGGGTTACTAACAACCAATTTTATTCGCTTTTTCAAATATAAGTGATACAAATAAGGAACAAATAATAAGAAAATAAATTGAGAGAATAAGGGAAATAGAAATCTTATTGATAGTTGCAGCCTTTCTTCCGTACGAAAGAAATAGTTTTCAAATAATAGAAAACTGTAGTAAAAAAATATAATTGAGAGACTGACTTAGTAATTGTTCGATGGGATACAAGGTGTAAAATGAGGGGTTTAAATAGTAATCATATTTGTAACTGTTTGCCTTGTTTAGCTCATATCCATTACTGTCACTTATTACATTAATGACGCGTTTCACAATTGAATTGTAACAGACGAAGTAATGATGGCAAATCCTGTGTAATCAGGCATTGACGATTCTTTCTTTATTCGTATCTATATTAGTGACTCGTTCTTCAAAATCTAAAGCTATTTTCCTGTACTTTGTCACGGGCTAAATAGACATGATACGTATTTGCGAGTGCGGAACGAAAATGTGGTTTATTTTTACTCAAAATACTCAAATAAGTGTAAAAAAAAAAGTTACCAAACTATATATAATGCCACAAATAGTGGCGCTATACAGTAACGTTAACTGCATCGTTACTGTATAGCGCCACTATTTGTGGCGTTATACTGACACATCTTACATAGCGTCATTAATAGTGGCGCTATACGCATTATTACCTGAACACATAGCGCCATTAATAGTGGCGCTATACCCCTTAATACAAATCCTCCATCTTCTTCTTCTTCGTTCCATCTCCCTCATTTCTCATTTCTGGTCCCACCACCACCACCACCACCACCGATTCTGCCGCCATTTTAAAAAAAAAATAAAAATTTTGGGTCCCCCCGTCACATAAAAGTTTAATATTTGTGGTCCCACTGTCGAGTAGAG